ACCTCCAAGTCCAAGGTGCCATGAGGGTTAACATGCATGACGTACAGTAAGTGTTGTTATTGTATGTGTCGCACAGCAGCCTAAAATGTAGGAGCGTATGGATCATGAACCCAAGTACAGACATCCAATGTTGCAACAGAAGAACTTCATTCCAGTCTGTGGTTTTGGAGGTCTAATCCTCAGCATATACTGGTCACTGTAATCATGCGTTACGCCAAACTGCTCCTGAACTTGCTCGACTCAGTCAGCCAAATCCAATGTCAGCCTTCAGAGCTAGCCAAACCAAGTGCGTATTTTCCAAATTTAGATTCTTTTCTCCACGAGATTCCCTCCTTGCCTTCATTGTGTTTTGTTGCTGAGGGATAATCCCTGCTAGCCATGTGTAGGCTGTCTTACTTGAACCAACACACCTTTTTTTTTTTTGTAACCGTCCTCTATGCAACATATGCATATGGCGGCATCGTTCACTTAGGTTTAAATGTCCACACAGGATGTTCACATGTCTATTAGAAAAAACACTCATGTGAGGGTCATTTGGCCATAAAGAGACGAGGGTTCTCACAGCTGTTTGCTGACCACTCCAGAGCACTTCAGGTGGCCGTAAAGTGTGCGACTGAAGTGGATGGGTTAAGTGTAGTATGAGTCATTAAACTTGGCCGGACAGGTAGCGAGGCTTCAGGTTGACTTCATCAATGAGGCGAGGAGTTATCAGGTCTCACTTGTGGCAGACATTGTCTTATCTTTATGACCATAAATGTTAATTGTAGGCGGTTGGGAAGCATTTATTGCAAAGGACAATAAACCTAGAAAGGTGCAATACATAAAAAATCCCTGTTACATTAGTCCTGGAAATGCAACACATGATCAAAAGTGAAGAGAAGAATGTAGATTTCTTCAGAATCTGGATCAGTTGCTTTCTTGATTTAGTAGTGTTTTTTTTTTTGTAATTTGAACCCATTCTAAAATAGTCAAACTACACAGGTAGCTTCATGTCTTAAAATGAAACACAAGATTTGTGCTTCATAAGTTACAAAAAAAAACACCACGTGACTCAGTGTTTTGCCAGTGTTTTGTACTCTCTCTGTGTACATTGTCTGCCCAGGCCTCAGTCTGCTTCCTCGCTGTTTGCCTTCCAGACAGGCCTGATGTTCAACATTATTAAACTTGGCTGCAAAAGAGCCCAAGCTCCCTTTTGTCTTTTTCAAGTCAAATGAAAGCCAGATATTGAAGCCAGGTTATTCAGGCACTCGCTGGTTCAGTCACTTTCTAGTTTGGCAGGAAACACAGCTCTCACACACTATCCTAATCCTCTCACATGCACGGACCTGTGACACACATACACAAACACACACACACACACACACACACACACACAGAGGAGAAACAGTCCCAACCTGCATGCTAAGGACCATAATTAGAGATCATTTACAAGGATCAGGTTGAACATAATGTGGCCGGGAGGTAACTAAAGCTTGGCCATCTTTGCTCTCTGTCAGTGTGTGCGTAGAGGAGGGAGTTGTGCTCGTTGTGTGTGTGTGTGTGTGTGTGTGTGTGTGTGTGTGTGTGTGTGTGCATGCACGTGTAGAGCCAGTTCACCCAGGAAACGGTCAGGGTGTGCCCAAAACATGACGTTTGGAAGGTGGGAAGGAGGGCTTGGGCAAATACAAGATGGAGCAATTCGCCTCTGTGATGTTTGAATCTCCCTGCAAACGGAAACACATGGTTTCTTTGTATTTGCTCTACTTGTATGTTTATGTGCGTGTGTGTGTGTGTGTGCCTGTGTGTGCATGTTGCACGTGTGCACACTCTGCTTCTTCACCACATCTAGTTGAAATAGCAGGTGTGAGGACCTTTAGGTTATTAGCTTGGTTAGCGTTATCGCCGGTGTGATAAGCTTAATGCATTTTGTGTGAAACATGCACACACAATGAAGATAAAGTTACATTACCTTCAAAGATAAGGGAGAATAAACTTCAGATTTGTCAAAGAGCCGATAAAATAGTCAGTTAGCTATTAATGCCATGGTGTTAAATGTAATATAATCCTTTGCTCATTGTGCAACTAACTTGAAAGCAGTGTTGCTGATTAAAACATCAAGGCTGTTAAGTTTATGCATTTTCATTCTCCATGTTTTCGTCCTGTCTGATCTGTCATTATTAAAAAGTAGGTCAGTCTTGGGAGTGCAAACATTTGAATGGACACACGCACCATTCACATGCACACGCACATGGACAAGCAGTGAATCAGTTCCAAACTTGTCCGAGGAAACGGTTTCATGCCTCTTCAGTTTTTGGATGCTCTAACCCTTTTTGGGTTTTCCTTGGCACAGCAGCGGAGCCAAATTAAACGAGAGAAAGCTGCGATTCAGCACATTTGATTCTCACATCAACAAGAGCATGATGCTACAGGAAAGCAGGACAGCTATGAGGGCCTCTATTAAACAAAGAAAAGTAACAAAGAAAATCATCCAATCATTTCAGTTCCTTTCTTTCCCTTATTAGCCTCTTTTAGCATGCATTGATAATTGTTTTAGTCTGCTTGTTTTTATTGGCAATTAAAAAATAATAATTCATCAGTATTTGCACTGTCATACGAATCAAAGTGAGCTAGCAGCAAAGAAAACGGAGCTGTTGGCATAAAGGCTTCTTATAGGCTCAGAATTTGGTAAACAAAAGATAGATTAAAGAATTATCATTTATAACTACAATTATTTAAGATAGACTTTAGCGCTTTCTCATAAGAGGAGAGGAATCATTAGTGAGTCGGTTAGTTGCTAGCTGGTAAGCCTAACTTAGCATAAACAGGAAGCGGAGAGAAACAGCTAGCGTGGCTAAGAGTAAAGGTCGAGATATGTTAACTTAAACCTCTAAAGCTGAGTGAAGAAGTTCTAGCTCATATTTTTGTCTAAGACATTTCTGTTTTTTGCTTTTTATGTTTGAAACGTAAAATGAGACTCCACATGTTAAGTGCTTTGGAGGCGTTGCAAAGCATTGTTTGGTTTGTTGTTTCCCCTTCACAAATGCTAAGCTAAGCTAAGGGAACATGAGAGCTGCTTTGCACTCAACACACAGACATGACTTTTTCTCAAACCTATGCTTCAGGATTCAGTTGGTTGTTTGTAACATATAAATGCTCATTTAGTTTAATGGCTGTCAGGCTTTAAAAAAAAAAACAGCAGTCATCTGTTTACCCTTTTTCCATCACAAATTTTATAGAGTGATAATTGGGCAGTTGTGGTGCGGTTAAAAAACCACAAGTCTATCTAAGCTGTGGTAAATACTTTGCATAAAGTTAAAGTGGGAACATGACATTTCAGTTTGTGAGCTCAGTATCAATACGGACCTGATGGCTGCCAGAATCAAACCTGTGAGCTTTCCACAAGAGACCAGCCTAACAAGCATGCCTGCTGCTTTAACACATTTTGAAAAGAGGTGTCACCATAGCAAAAAGACCTCCAAGGTACCTATTTGAAAGGTGAGAGAGTGGGTATGTACGGGGATTCTTTGTGCTTGTTCTCAGCATCACGTTTCATGTTTTTGAACTTCTGGGTCTGTGATCTTCAGAGCTTTGAAGTGAAACGGACTCAGGCTGAGCTGGTGCTGCTGGCAGCAAGCGCGGCTCTGTCCTATAGGCCACTGGGTCTCTGTGTTGCCACAACACTAGAGCTGCCGGGGTCACTGGTGTATCAAGCTTTGATGATAAAGACTGGTGTCAAACTCCCACTGGGCTAGTATGTGGCTGTCTAATGTACTTCCCTTGCTAGTTTGCTGTGTTTTAAGTACTCACAGTTTTTTTTTTTGGTCTTTCTAAGAAGTAAATTGGAAAACGTTGAAGGAAACTTGGACAGCTTCAGTCTGATTTGCTTCATATGCGGTTTTACTTTAGCTGGTCTAACTGTGGGGCCTTTGGAGGGACGGTAATCTTATCTTAACGGATCTTTCCACAGACACAAGGTTGAGAGCCAGTTTGGCATCGGCTTTGTGCCAAACAGACTTCTGCAGTTGCACACACAAACTCGTCTCTCTTCCATGTAAATAGGGCTTTCATTCATTGCTTCAGAGTGGAGAGTTCTCTGCATTACACTGTTAATCCTGTCATTAAACTCGATCTATTCATCAGCCTGCAGTAGAAATACTCACACACTAACACACAAATATACAACTTGTACATTTGTGTGTTTTTTTTTCTCTCTTGGTCCATGCACATAAAACGCTTCTTTGGGTGGAACTGAGGACAACCTGTGAGGGTTACTAGTCCTTACATGCCGGTTGGTCAGTTGAACTTTGGTCTGCTAGGAATGTCAGGAATTGCGGCCATAAACAGGTAGAGACTGTATGAATTTAGAAGTGACATTGAACATGTTGGAAGTTACGCACAAGGAGTCTTTTAAAAGAGAAAAATAGAGGGTCTGTCGAATGTGTGAATATCATTTGGACATGGATAAGTTCCTGTCTGGACTTGCTAGCGTGAGTAAATAATGACATAAATCTGAAGAGTCGTGTTATTAATTTCAACAAATACAACTCATTATCTGTCACATGTAATTAATATTCCAGATGATTCGAATTTTAAAAACTAACTTCCATTAATGGCACTGACTGCCAGCGGGTCTTTCTTGTAAGACGAAATAATTTTGCTCTTGGTGAAGTTTTCATGGTTCAGGTTTCATGCACGTTAATTGATAGCACAGAAAACTAAGGTGGTTGCTGTTCATCTGGTTGTAAAAAAATGCCTACATTTTGAAAGTTGTCTCAAAAGATGACATAAAGACACCAAACCAAATGTTAACCTACATTGCTACACTGATGTCGGCATTTTAGCCAATGTCAATGGATTCATTGCAATGAATCAGAAAGCTTGTGCGCATGTGTTTATGCCGATTTTGCTTTCCAGGACCTCCAAATGAACTATGAAAAGGAAGAATTGTAATTAAAACACTAGCAACATGTTTTTAATAAAGTTTGTTAATGAGACTCTCTTTTTCTTTTTTCCTTCTCTAGATGATTATAATTACCTGCCGGATGTGTTGCCTCCTCTTCCTGAGGTTCCGGACTCTGGCTCGGTCCTGAGCCCCGTTGACTTCCCGGCCCGCTGCCTCCGCAACCCAGCCTTCCTCCACACCTCCTCGCGCTACTGCTCCGCCCTCAGCATGGACTCGTCTCCTGACAGCGCAGAGAGACCCGTCAGCTACAGCTCCACGTCTTCCTCCGCTTCCTCCCGAGACAGTCACTGCTCACTGGGCAGCCGCTCAACCCTCGTCTCTGCCCCTCACTGTAACCCAGTAACCTCAGACCGGGACTCCGGGGCGATTCGGCTGGAACTGGTCCCCGCCCGGCAACTGGGATGCCGGGAAGAAGATCACAGGAATGACACAGGGGTGGACGCTGGGAAGGGACAAGGGAGACAAGGCAGTGCACAGACACCGACAGAACATTCAGAGCCAGTACTGGGCACAGATGGAGGAGAGAGGACAGGGCAGGTGCAGGGACCCAAGACATATGTGGACAGGGTGGTGCAGGAAATACTGGACACAGAGAGAACCTATGTCCAAGACTTGCGCAGCATTGTTGAGGTAAGGAAACCTCAGCCAAAGTCTTATCTTAACCAAACACAACCAGTGAAAGAATGTAGGAGCAGAAGAATTGTATCACAAATTGCAGGATTTCAAACTTATATGGGCATATTTAGCAGATCATCAAATGTAGAGTGAGGCCTTGTACAAATGTGTGCTTTTGAAGATTGTATCAGTTGTATCCATCCAGAGAGTGTGTTACAAACAAAAATGATTAATAAGGAATAACCTCGATTGGTTCCCATAGAATCTATTTATCCTGATTTGTTTACTTTTAAAGGCACTGGACGGAGGTGAAAGTAACAATCCAGCAGTCTGAAAAATCCTTCATGAACTCAACTGTATTTAATTACACGTAATTAAAAACAATACAATGTTATGATATCAAAATCATTGTAACGTTAAATAAGACAAAGTAAACATCAGGGAAACACCTAGTTTAAAAACAGGGGAAATAACATTACTCAAATTGAAAGTGAAGTTTCAAAATGAAAGTCCCACATTGAAAATATAATAACCTTAGGGTGGGAAACACCGACTGTTCCAATTGGAACGGAAATTGGAAATAAGAGCTGTACTCATTTTTTCTAGTTTCAACTCTTCCTCAAGCAAAAGAAAAAAGAAAAAAAAAGTCTGACCAAAAGTATGACCCAGTTGAGATCCAAGTTGAAGTGGAACGTCATAAATGTGCTTCATTCCAGCGCCGGTTTGACCTTGGTCTTTGCAGGGGGGGATACAGGTGCTTTAAATCACCAGATAACACACACATCATGTCTTTGTGGTTTTTCTTCACACACGTGACAACACACTGCTCGTTGCCTGCTGGGAAACCTCCGACACAATAAGATCACCTGCGCTTACAGGCGGGGTTTGGCCAAGATACACGACACCAGTGCCTTTGTGCTGCAGGCACAGGCCCACATTCAAAACTTCTTTTTTTAACACAAAACTGTATGCACACACTCAGATAAATGCGCTCCTTTTTTTCCGAGGTTGGCTTTGAACTGAGAGGATACACATTGCCTCTGGTCAGAGCTTTAGCTGCTTTGTTAAGGATTGGGTGTAGTGGTTTACATCAAAGGTTGCGCTCCTTTCTCTTTGTTTTCTTATTCATTTTTTTTTTTTTGTTCTCCATTGAACTGAAAATTCACATCATGAGTGCTCAAATGTGGTGCGCACATGTGATGCATGTTTTCACATTTGAGTTCAGAAAATGGTTTTTATTCTGCACGTGTGTATGGTTTGCATGCATGTGCTGGAGATTTTCCCACTTTTCCTCATATCCTCCCTCTTCACGGTGCTTCCTCCCCCACTTAAGGCTGCTGGCTTATGGGTCAGTGTGCGTATGTGTGTGCTTGTATGTGTATGTGTCTGTTATTTAGGGTTAAAAAGGTTAATTCTGTTGTCAATGGAGAGCAGGAAACTCATATCTCCAGAAGATGGGTCGGGAGGGAGTTTTGGGTTTTGCCGTTTTGGCTTGTCACTCCTGATCGATGTCCCATCCTTGTCTGCTCCTCCTTCCTTCCCGCCCCTCTTTAGGTGAGGAAAAAAGGAAAAGGGAGAGGAAGTTTTGAGGGATTTATCTCTGAGATAACAATGTCTAAAGTAGGTTAGAAAAACACTGAACAGTGCTTCGGAGCTTGACTTAATAACCCTCTGCTGCCTCTAATACTCTGCAGACCACCCACTCCTGGAAGACCCCACTCACAGGGTAGGCCAGCTTATTCTTTAGCAGTGGAAAGACACGTGCATTAAGGCTTTCCTCACCCCTTTAATGACAGTTCCAGTGAGTGCACGGAAGATGGATTGCACTGATTGTATCTGTATGAATAGAGCTTTTAACATTTAGTCCAGCACTGACCTGTCTGTAATCAGCACTGTCCTGTGGGAGCCGCTCCTGCAGCCCCTGTTTCAATAATCTTTTAGTCCATGCTGCTTCCTGCAATGGAAGAGGGTGTGACAGCCCTAACACAAATATTTACCCAGACTCCCTGGCTCACCTGTGTTTCATCTGTCAGCGCGGTGTTGTGATCCACAATCGCTCGCACTCATACTGTGCCTGCCTGTATGTGATCTAAGTTGACTTTTAGTACATATATCACACCTTCTTGTCAGTGAGTGAAATGGGTTTTTACAGAGGCCCTGAGAGCTCAAGGTTCTTCAACTTAACAAAAGACAAAAGGTTCTTCAACTTAAGAAAAGAAGAAGCAGATTAAGAAAATGTATTCACCAATTTAAAGACTGATGAACAACAGGAAAAGAAAACAAGTGCAAAAGGAAGACAACAAACCAAACTACATATGGCATTTTCACTTTTTGTCTCCACCATGTTAACATCTGTTTTTTCCTAACTAAATTCCATTCTGTTCTGAGCTATTTGTGTCATTTCTAATTGTATTCCTTAAAACTTTCAAGTTTTTTTTTTCTGTAACTCAAATTGGTTTAACAAGTCCTCTGTTTGCATGTTTTCTTTTCGTTTGAGCTTTTTTGGCACCTGTTCATTTTTATTTTTAGTGCAGAGTTGAAGTAGTTTGTTTGTTTGTTAGTTGGGTGTGACCATCCCAACCAACCCCCACCCCTCCCTTGGCTCAGTCAGTGTGTGTGTAGGCCTGTCGGTCATCCACAAACAGCCTCAAAAACACAAAGCTCTGATCTTTCAGTACCTCTTCCTCTCTTCCCCCCCCCCCCCCGGAGACCTGCACCACATGGCCACTGCAAATTGAAGTTGACCATAAGTTTGGAGATAAACTGAGAGCGTCGCTTGATGAAGGTTCTGAATGTTTGCACCCGGCTTTGTCTGGAGGAATTACTTCCTGCGGCGGTCAGGCTCAGAGTGAGGGATGTGTTTAGTGTGTACTTGCTGAGGTTAATGGTTAACACGAGAAGGTATCAAGTTTGTACATGCTATGACTGATGCTTAGCTGTGTGTGTGTGTGTGTGTGTGTGTGTGTGTAGGTGTGTGTTCCTTGTTTGTTGGGTACGATGAGTGTATTTTTCAGGCCGGCTCAGATCCATGACCCGTGGCTAATTCAGCATCAAATTACACATAACCTCCGATAGTCAACAAATCTTTACAACCCCATGACATGACCCCTGACACAACCGTCAACCTGCCCTTCAGTCTTATTGTGAAACTAAAATTCTAGAAAAAAACACACACAAACAAATGTTGGCCTGAAGCACTTGTATAACCTTAAAACCCTTAACTTCCATTCTTTGCTTTAGATGAGATCATGATCCCTTTTTACATCCATCCCCTCCCTAAATCAAACACGGTTTTTTCTGGACTTCTCAGGCTACATTATTATAATGTTAATGAAGGTTAATACATAAAAACATTACCGAGAACAGAAACCAGCATATCAGACTGGAAATGAAGCAAACAGACTGATGACAGTGCATGGATGACATTTTTGCTAACTTAAATTTCCTTCTTGTCTAACACTGAATTATTGTTTTTTGCTGTATGTATTTGCCTGACATCAGCTCTTTCTGCATCTCAAAAACATGCTAATGCTACTTTGTAAGATACAGTTTTGGAGAATAAGAAACTCTTAGGATGGTGTAAAAATATCCTATTGAAATTGTGTGTCGGCTGATAAACTAGCAGCTGACACATTTTGCATTTAAAGCTGTTTTGGAGGTATTTCTCAAACTGGCATCGGTACTGGAACTACTCAACAAAAGGTTGATGCTGCTTTTACAGAAAACACACCCTTAAGCCGTTTACAGTACCTCTGTGACTTTGTACTGGTCTACCTGTCTTGCTCTCTCTTTCACTTTCTTGCTGCGGGCTGCATGAGACCTGAGGTCTCTGCTGTATCAGCACTCCCTGCTAACGACAGTGATAGAAGGAGTGATAAGAACCAGACTAAAATCTGCTCTAATAGACTTATATCTGACATTTTTAAGAGCCATGTTAAAACCTGTATCCCCAGCATTCCTCTCACTCTGGGGTTTATTTACACTAAACCTGATGACATGTCTTATTTCCTTATCCAGCTGTTGACATAAAACAACAATGGAGGGATTGGCCAAATGGGCTTTCTTTATCTAGATTATACAAAGCAATGACAGATGATCTAATACAGTGTTGCCTTTGTCCCTCTTTTACTCTACAGCTTAATTGATGTATGAAATAAATGCATAAAAGCAAATTTTTTTACACAACCAGGTGAGTTTTAGTATCTCAAAATATGCCTTTGTGCATTGTTGTTTTTTTATTGCAATGAAAGTTAATGTAAATAAACTGCAGCGTCACTTCAACTCATCAGCAGCTGTGTATATGAAAGTTGTAATATCACATATGGAAGATTAAGATTGATCAAAGCAAACTGGATTACTGAATGAGGAATTTTTCAATCATAACATTATTAAGTTCACCTTTTTTTGTTGCTGGGAAAGTTTTAAAATATTGATTACAAAAGTATGCAGGAGAGAAAGCTTTTACTTTTAATTGCCAGAAGTCACATTGCTAATGCTTAAGTGCTCTGAGTCATAGAGAAAAGAAATGTCACTGAAGCAGCCTTAAAAATAATGACTAATATGCCTACATTGACATTCAAATTAAAAGGAGTCACCAGTGATGAATGATGTTGCTTTAACATAACTTCTCTCTCTCTCTCTCTCTCTCTGCAGGATTACTTGGAGTGCATCAGTAACCAGTCTCGTCTGGCGTTGAGCTCTGAGGATAAAGGCTCTCTGTTCGGAAACATCGATGACATTTACCACTTTAACAGGTACATCATACTGCTAAGCTGCACACTACAGACCTGAGTCAGATGTAATGCTGCGTTCAAGTCACATGGGATCAATGGTCGACTGGAAACATGCCTGCTTCTATGATTAAACCTAAATAAATAAATAAAGCATTATTTCTATCATGTGTAGAATGTGATTAACCACATTAAACACTAAATATAAACCAACGGCCTCGTGTCCCGGTCAAGCTAACAAAAAATGTCCTGTGAATAATGAAACTGGGTCGAGCCACCTGTTGATTTGATGGAAGGGCATTGAGTGTGTGTGTGTGTGTGTGTGTGTTTGTCGTCCTACAAAATAGGTAGTTGAGCATCAGCCGTGGTGGTCTGGAGACTCGCACCCTTCTCTCCCACCTATTCATTTCTCAGCTGTCACGCCCACACACACTGGCCCAGTAAAGGAAGCATAAACGCAGTTTGAAGTGTTCACAATGACCTCATGCTTTAGTCATGAAACAATAACTCCCACAGGGGTCTTTTTTTTTTTTTTCATAGTGTGCCCTAACACACACACACACATTCTGTACACAGATACACACGGGAGCTGCCCGATTGAATTCATGGAAGTTTCTCATTTGTTCACAGACAAATGCCCTAAGACCTCATTTCTGTACCCAGGGTGACTCTTACTGCTGAAATGCACTGTTTAATAGAACAATGCATTGTGGGAGAGAAGGTTTTTAAGAGTAGAACGCATCATATGTGTGATGTTTGGGTGCATACTTTTGCATGAAAAACTGATTTGTTTGAGCTCTCTATTTGTTTCAGGGACCTTCTTCATGATCTGGAGAAGTGCAACGCTGACCCTGTGGCCATCGCAGAGTGCTTCGTATCAAAGGTAAAGATGGCCGCCTCTCTTTCTGCTGTTTTAGCTGAACAGGGGTCTTTTATTCAAGCACCATTATAAACTAGAACCGTTAGTATAACACTTAGCTAGCTATTGTCGTATTTCTACTTTGACTTTAGTGAACTCTCTGAGTACAACCACCACTGTCTGTCTCTCCGCCCACATGCACACTCCTCCATTCCTTGAGCCAACAGCTGCCTCAGTGACACAGACTCATGCACTCAAAGACATACACTGGACAGAAAATGAGAAACAGGCAATGCTCTATTATGAAATATAAATAAACAAAGATCAGATGAAGACGCAGCTGGAAGTCAGTGAAGTTTATTAAGAGCTGGAAGCGCGATTTTGGAGCTAGGAATGTGAGTTTAAAGAGCAACAGTAGAGCAGGGAGGAGAGACATGTCTAAAGGAATTTAAAGAGCCGTGCAGATATATAATCACCTTTTTTTTTTTTTTTTTACTGGAGGGGGATAATGGCAGGACTTTGTCAAGAAGAACTGGACTCAGCAACTCTGGTCACAGTATCACTGGTCCATGTGTGTGTATGTGTTTCAGCATTAATTCTGCTCCTGCTTCTTGTAAGTCCATGCCTTGAAGAAAAAAAAAAAAAAAATAGCATGATTATGTCCCATGATGATGTGCTGCATTCCTGCACTTCCTCTAAAAGTCCTGACATTCCCTCCCTACCCCTCTGCAATTACACCCAATACCACAGAGCAACTGTCTGACCATGTTTATAAAAAAAAAAAACACAGGCATGTCAGCGTCACAGACACCCTAAATACGGCAGCTGTTGTTGAAACACGACAGTTTTATAGCAGCCCACAGCAGCACTCTGCATAATTATCTCCATCCATAAACAAACCAGCATGATGACACTTCTGTAATTGACTGATTCATATTACGCTCATCAGGAAGCTGCGTTTGGATGATTTAGTATACGTATATACTGATACAAAGTAGTGCTTCTTGTTTGTTTATAAAATCTAACAAGTACCGAAAATGTATTAAAACACCCTTGTGGTATTTACTGTGTGGTTTGTCTGGGGGTTGAATTGGGTCAAAACCAACTAAAGCTGAAGCTTTTTTTTTTTATATCACATCCTGCAAACATTTCCCTCATTGAGCAGGTATCATTACACAAATGTCCACTGAAACAATTAAATACATACTTCATTTTTACTGGAGGTGGCGTAGACCTCCAATCAAAGTCACACACAAATACACGTGAACAACTGTGAAGCATTTTCAGCTTTGTCTGCACTCAATCCTTTTAATTCCACCTTCCACTTCAAGGTAAAGTTGACTCAATGCTCATCAGCATTTGGGTATCGTAAATTTGCATAGACACACTTTATCTACAATAAACAACCCTTACTCGGTACATTACTGTCATGATTTACTATGAAAATAGTAATGGTAAATGAAATGGACTTATTCATGATTATCTCGTCTTCTCGGTTTTACTCTAGATGTCACATTTACCCAGTCACACACTGATGGCACGTGGTGCTATGCAAACTGATTATTAGTATTAACTGATCCCTTTTATACATATTCGCACGCAGCTCATTTTGCATCAGGAGCAATTTGGGGTTTGGGTTGGGGATTTTTGCCCAAGGACACTGTGACATGTGGCCTGTTGGAGAGCGACTCTAACACTGAGCCACATCCGCCCCATGACCTAAATTGAATCTTTTGGTCAGTTTGTTTAGTCCAATTTAGCCCAGCCAGGCATTTATTATAGTAAGCATACAGCATACAGACTTAAACAAAACAGTATCACACAGCCAGAGGTGGACTTACTGTGAAAACACAATCATTCCATTGACATTGACATCTCATTCCTGACCTGCAATAACAACTGAAATTTGTAAAAAAAAAAAGTGTCCCACTGCAAGTTCCATAAGTAGTTGCTGCAGAGTTCTCAATTATTTATCACTCTATTTCTTCAGCAAGTTGTAATCTTTTTCAAAATGTTTGTAGATGAGATAACACAAGAATCCTGCTATAACTGGGAATACTTAATCTACTCAGGAAGATTGTTCGATACAATCTAGACCTCAAGAGTAGCTGTGGTGAGTTGTTTTGCCAAACATGCTGCCATGTTCAGACATCCAAAATCATTAAATTCCTTCATCCACTCATATGAGACATAGTTAGGAGGAAGAGATAGAATCTCTTGATGGTGAAAGCTCCCTTGTGCTGTTATGTTATTTGTGAATTTACGTCTTTTGGCTTCTATAGAATTGTCAGTGAGTGAGTTTTATGAAGTTATATGAGTGCAGACAGACCAAATGCCTGGAAACACAAAGTCACCACTGACCATGAAGCCCCCTTTAGCTCACTGTGGACGGAAAGTTCTGTGTAAAAGTGAGCGTGTGTGTGTGTGTGTGTCTTCATAATTTCATAGGCTGACTTCTGGTAAATGGATTTGTAACCTGAACAGTAACTAGGGATCATTTGTATTGCCGCAGGTTAGTCATGGTTGCTAAGACTGAAAAACCACAAGGCATGTATTTTCTCTATCTGTGACACACACGCACGCGCAACTAATACTTCAGGAGTCTCAGTAGCCAAGAATCACATCCCACGCAGTGTTTGAAGAGGAGACCGATCTCGTTGTAAATCTCCTCCTCTCTCTCAGATAATTGCCTATCTATCCTCATGTTCCTCTTTATTCCTCTAAATCCAAACTGTGCGATGTGGCGATGCGTTGAGTAAGCCTTAAAGAGTTTTATGTGCTGCTACTTGCTGACTGAAGCGCAATTACAAGGAGATCTTTACTTTACCCCCCCCCCCCCCCATACCTGATGACTCACTGTGATCAGTCCAGTCTCGACACATCACAACAGCAACCAAAACTGCTCATTTTATGACTTTCGAACTGAAATGATCATTGGGTGGTGATATATGTCGTCTCCTTTTGGTTCACTGTGTTGTCATTAGCAACCACAACTTTAAAAAAAAAAGTACAAATCTTCTATATAATTTGTATCTTGATGTGCGTAGGAAAGGGACATTTTCATCATGTCAAGGAGCCAGCTCACAGTTCAAAACTCACTTGCAGCATTGACATCTAATGATTGTAAAATAAAGTGTAGTTTTATATTTTTCCAAAAAAAAGGAAGTATATTACAGATTATAGCTATTTCAGGGTCTACTGGTTTCATGGCGAGGTTCAAAAGACTGAGTGCAGACATTCGTGATCTGCACAAATTCCTATTCCATAGAACCATTTCTGTATCTTGTGGTCTCGCTTCTGAAGTCCAGAGGCGTATTAAGAGTGTGTATTAGGAGTGTGTGTGTGTGTGTGTGTGTGTGTGTGTGTGTGTGTGTGTGTGTGTGTGTGTGTGTGTGTGTGTGTTGTGTGTGTGTGTGTGTGTGTGTGTGTGTGTGTGTGTGTGTGTGTGTGTGTGTGTGTGTGTGTGTGTGTGTGTGTGTGTGTGTGTGTGTGTGTGTGTGGTGTGTGTGTGTGTGTGTGTGTGTGTGTGTGTGTGTGTGTGTGTGTGTGTGTGTGTGTGTGTGTGTGTGTGTGTGTGTGTGTGTGTGTGACTGTGTGTCATTGGAAATCGATGGTGGCACATCTGGATACGTTTAGGCCTGGTCTGTGGCTCCAGACTGCTGGAGACGAGGAGGAGGAGAGCTCTGCTCTTCAATTTAGGACGGTTCCCACGGAGCACCTCAGGCTAACAAGAGTGTGTCTCAGTGCATCAGACGGTCTGTGTGTGTGTGTTCTTGTGTACAGTATATTCCATACGAATGCACTGCTTGGGTTCCTGTAGGTAGGTTATATTATTTAGCAGTAGTTTGATGAGCTTAATGTATATTTACTCGCAGCAAGAAATGTAACAATTACACACATTTTTTGTCTCTGCATGGTAAGTTTACTGTGAATCACATGCTGGAAGATGTGCGTGAATGTTCATAACTCTCTGCTTGTCACAGTTTGAGTGGCCTGTGTATGTGTGTGTGTATGTATGTGTGTATGTATGTGTGTCTGTGTGTGTGTGTGTATAGATGACAAGTTTCTGCCATCTGCCCTATGTGTTTACGAAGCTGCTTCCTGATAGTTGTCCGCATCCTGCAACCCCCCGAGTGTTTATGGACACAAAAAGAGTTCAATTAGACTGACTTATGCAACAGTGATGGGTTCATCTCCAGGCCTCACAGAGAGCTGGAGACTGACAGAAAAGCTTAAATAAAAAGAGACGAAATGCAAAAAAAAAAAAATAAATAACGATTCAAATTAGGAAAATATCCAGAAAAGATGACTGAAACTATGCAAAATCCCTTCCAGAAGTAGAAACTTTCGGCGAAAGACGATGAAGGTAAACGAGAAAAGATTCATTTTGGCTCGGCCTAAGTCGTGCCCCATCTGATGTCTTTGATGTTCGGAGAGGCATGGTGAAGGTGGGAAACGTCTCAATTAAAGGGGGTAGAGATGAAGTGCAGTATGAGGGGATATGTAATCCAACAGAGACTTAAAGGCCAGTGTGCAGACTAATCATAAGCTACATGGTTGACTTTCAATTACAAGCGATGAATGGAGGAGAGTGGGTGCCTTGTCTGTGGGCTCTGAGTGTGCAGAGCCATGAACATGAAATAACAAGGCAGTCATCAGAAGTGTTCAGAGCCACTGCTCATACAGGAGAGTGTTCAACCAGTGATGAAGAGGATACAGCTTGACTTTTGAAACGATGCCCTTGGATGTTTTTTTTTTTTTTTTTTCTGTTCCAGGCGTCCATTGTGTTCAGATACTTTTCACATGGTGTGTAAAATTGTTCGGGGGATCTTGAAACTTGCTCTAGTTGGGTAATGCAGCTTTCTGAAGCCAATTCTGCATTTTCTTTTTAAAGGAACAACACTGTTAGGCAGAAAAAGAGTGTTCAAATAAATCATCAGATAAACGGCACGACAAGAAAATGTGTTCCAAAAGTATTCTGTTTGGTTTGATACAAAGAAAGTCCTTATCCTATGGTTCCTAGGTCAAAGTTCAAAATGTTCAAAGTCTATCTCCATGTTTCAATATGATTAAATACCACACCTACAGCTTTTAGCTTAATGTCATACTTCTGGATACCTGCAACTGTATATGCCGTCACATTTCTGGGAAGCCCAAATTATTGACATAAAGCAACAACTTGAATGCATCAACTAATTTGCCCTTCTTGTGTTTTTTTTTCAGAGTGAAGAATTCCACATTTATACCCAGTACTGCACCAACTACCCACGGTGAGACAGAGTGTCTACAGTCTACTGTACAACAACAAAAAAAAACCATCATCCTGTTGTCTTTGTCATCTTATCTTCATCTCACCTGCACACACCGTCTTCCCAGGGTCTCACATAGCTCCTTTGTGTATGCCGATCAATGCACTACCTTTTTTTCTCTCTCTCTCTCTCTCTCTCTCTCTCTCTCTCTCTCTCTCCTGATAAACTGATGCGCTCCATAGACGCCACTTCAGCACAGGAGTCAAAGTGTCTACCTTCAGATGTGCCTCAGGGTCCAACTCCCTCCCTCTCTCTCCCCCTCGGTGCCCCATTTCTTTTTCCGCCACTCTTTTATTTGTTGCCTATTGACAGAGTTACAGCTCACACATTGACAGATGGGGCATTATAGATGTCACGTTATCATAGCTAACTACTGATAATGCTTTATAAAGCTCCCATGGGACGCCTATGTGGATCCCTTTGCTAGGAGTTTTTTTGTTTGTCAGTGCGTACATAAATGGGCTGAAATGTGAGGCTTTTCTTTACACCAAGATAAACTACCCCCCCCCCCCCCACTCCCTCAAGCTACCTCAGTGTATGATCAGAAAGGCACGTGGGGGACGGACTATTCACTTATTGAAATCTGATTATGTGTGTGTTCGTATGTGTGTCTCTGAAGGGGCTATTGTCAGCTGTTTGAGATAGACTTTCTACCACATCCACACCACAGCTGGTGACCCCCACCAAGGTCACACACGACAGACACACACCCACACACACATGGGAGACACAAACACACACGCACATAGAAACACACACACACACACGCACACAGGCTACAGATGTATCGTGGTCTTGCTGAGCTCTGAGGTCGGGTTTCCTCCAGAACAATGTGAGGCCTGTGTGTAGCTTCACTGGAATTTAGACATGCAGACATGCATGCGCTCACACACACAAACACACACACACACACACACACAAATAGACTAAAGGCAAGTTTTAGGCAACTGTCTTTTCCTGTCATTTTCCCCTGTGCATCTGTAATACACACACACACACACACACACACACACACACACACACACACACACACACACACACACACACACACACACACACTCAGACAGCTTAGATTTTTGGTGAAAATGCTCCTTTTTCCCCACACAGTCAAACACCTCAAGTAACCAAAAATCGTTCTTACAAGCTTTAACCATATTGCTTTTTATTTTGGTGGGGTGGGGGGGAGATGGTCTGATATGCACCAATAATCAGTTAATGCTGAAGTATAAATTAAGAAATCTCTGGTTAAGCATTCAATAGCATTATATATAATAAACAATGACATCAAAGGTATTTTTTACAAGTGCAAAGACTGCAACGCATTGAAATATAGTTTACTGTATTGACCATAAAAGAACAAATTGGCATTTTTTAGATCGACCTACGAACGGAAGTCAGTCCTGTCAGTCATACTGCCCTTCAAAGATGTGTGTGAGAAAATCTGTGAAAGCAAATAAGTGAACAAATAATCTTTAAAGGGGGAATATAAATGAGAAAAAGCATACATCAGCAAATAGAAATCCATGTACATATGGGCATGTGAGTATTGTTTTTAGACAAAATTAAACATATCTGACCCAAATCTTGAATCAAGATTTTTCAGTGATAAATTTTACATTTGAAAATAGTCCATCTACTGTATATGGACATGCACAGTAGAGTGCATTTGGCTCTTGGTCAGCAAAACTGGAATATGACTTAAACGTTTTAACACAGTGGCTTCTATAGAGAATATTAGTGAATGTTTTGTTTTGCACATTTGTTGGATCATGATCATAAAATAATGTTTTACTTTCGGCAAAGACGGATTGATGGAGATCGTCTGGAGATGATGAAATCTTTTATTTTCCTGTGCGCTCTCTGTCCTATGATAGTAATGTCTGTCAGGACATAAATTACAACTCCCTCTTGTCATCACTGTCAGGTTATACTTTATTACTCATCTGATATCTTATTCCTTTGTTGTTTATTTTGCCTCCACAGGTCGGTGGCTGTGCTAACAGAATGCATGAGGAACAAGGCGTTGGCCAAGTTTTTCCGCGAGCGCCAGGAATCTCTGCGGCACTCCTTGCCCCTGGGCTCCTACCTGCTCAAGCCAGTGCAGAGGATCCTTAAGTACCACCTACTGCTACACGTACGTTTGTCTGTGTGTTGTCTATCACACGCACGCATGCACACAATAACTCTTTGCCCACTGAAAGACAAGAACAGGCACAAACATGTAAGCACACAATAATGTTTTTATCTTTAGCAGTACAAATGATGTGCACTACGGTTAATAACAGCATTTCTGGATCAGCTCCCAATGACAGTCTTCACTGGAGAGGCCAAATGTTTAGACATATGGCACCCAGTATGGATCTTCCTGAATCCCTGTTTGCATTACAGTGCATGCATAAATTAACGTTTGTATGCAGAAACACACGCATGGCTAGCCTGCATGAGTGTACCCCTTTAGATTCCTCTTCATGAACATGCATGTGCATCTTGTGTTGGTGCATGTGCAGACAGTATGTGCAAATACTTACTGTGTGTGTGTGTCTTTGCAGGAGATAGCCAACCACATGGAGAAGGACACAGAGATGTATGAGGTTGTGCAGGAAGCCATAGAAACCATGCAGAGAGTGGCTTGGCATATCAACGACATGAAGAGGAAACATGAACACGCCGTTAGGTTGCAGGTATAACAAGATGAAAAATGTGTGGAAAACATATACAGAATTGTGCAAAAATGTGACAATAGATTTTTGACTTGTAATGGTATGTAATTTTGACTTAAATCCTAAGCGTGTGATCTCCATCGTGATCTACCTGTTCCGCACAACATCCATGTCGCTCATTAAGCCGATAGCTAAAACAGCCACAGTAGTTTCAAGGTTTCCAAGGAGCCAATTTCTTTTATTGTTCCGCAGAAAAGTTATGTGAAGTCTAGGTCTGAATCAGCCAAGGCTCTGATCCTCCCCTCGTCTTACGCAAGTCACTGCATTTTCCACTCGGCTAATGATGGCCTTGCATAAGGGAGACATAAAAAAGGGAGCTTGTTTCTTTTATCAGCTGGGAGCCAGAAGGGTCAAGTGAATGCAGGAATGTGTTTGGAAGAGTTTACTGTCGGTGTCTGGAGAAAGGATGGGCTTGATTAAAAAAAAAAAAAAATCCTTTTTATCCTTTCTTTAAGCAGTATTTAACTCACTTCTTATTATTCCTCCCAATCTGAGTAAGGAAACACAAATGATCCATCCTCTTCTTTTACATTTACGTTTATTATCCTTTGCATTTATTATTATTATTCTCCAAACACAATTACCTGCTCACCCTCTTTTATATCGCAATTGCACCGTTGTTTTTCCTGTTCTACATTGTTGATCTCGTTCTCTGTATTCCGGGCATTCCTGCAGGAAATCCAGAGCTTGCTGACCAACTGGAAGGGCCCTGATCTTATTGGCTACGGAGAGTTGGTTCTTGAAGGAACGTTTCGTCTGCAGCGGGCCAAAAACGAGAGAACTCTGTTCCTGTTTGACAAGCTTCTGCTCATTACGAAGAAACGAGAAGAAGCCTATACATACAAGGCCCACATACTGGTCAGTGATGCTACCACAAGTCTGAAACGACCCAAAGAGACACTAAATACAAAAAATGTCTTTTGATTAACAGAGTTTTTTTCTTCATTGTTTTTTGCAGTGCTGTAACCTGATGCTGGTGGAAGTTATTCCTAAAGAACCACTGAGTTTCAGTGTGTTTCACTACAAAAACCCCAAACTTCAGCACACGGTCCAGGTACAGCACGTAGCACAAGAGAGCCCTCATCATAACAAAAGTCTTTGTAAATGTTAGTCCATGTTTTGCCTGAACTGTTCAGCTACCTGCATCATTAAGCAAGACTGTGATCAGAAAGTGTAACGATTATTTGCAGGTGTCTGGATGTTTTTTAGAGGGTCTAGGCTCACCTCAGTGTCCAGACTTGTTGAGTGTTTAGAAGCTAATGACAGCCTTTGTTGTTACCTAACCGGTGTGTTTTGTGTAAGCTCTAAAATATAAAAGATAATCTATGTGACGTAAGAAAGCTATGTTCCACGCTTCAAAGACTTCATCCCGACCCTCTAAGTTGCCTTTTTTTAAAGTTCAGGTCGGATATGATCTAATCCTTTATGTTTTGTGCTGTGCCTTCAGGCCAAATCCCAGCAAGACAAGCGCATGTGGATCTTACATCTAAAGAGACTCATACTTGAAAACCATCCTGCTAAAATCCCAGCCAAGGTAAGACCAGCTCTTCGCTTGACAGTTCAATCCCTGTTTACTGATGGCTAAAACACACTCTCTTTATTGGGATGTCTTGGAAATGTCACTCCCGCTCGCCCACTTTGTTGATCCTTTAAGTCCATCTTTCTTCCCCTGATCTATATCCTAAATTCAGTCCTTTTTTCCCTCTTTCACATGCTCTAATTTCTTCAAGTCGTTCTTTTTTTTTTTTTTTTTGCCACTGTTCTGTTTCTTCATCTTCTTTTGGCCATGTGGAAACTTTTCTCCAGGGGTAATTGTCACTTAAAAAGGTTAAGCGTGATTTCATAAAGGGGCTACTTGTTAAGAGCTATACTAAGCAGTACTGTTGACTCAGGACTGTGAAGTGGCGCCATCTAGTGTCAAAGCTTTTGTTCATCCACGACTTAACCTCCTTTTATTGCTCTGATTCTAGGCTAAACAGGCTATTTTGGAGATGGATGCAATGCGTGAGTACCAATTAACATTGTAGTTTTTGTTGTTCAAAATATCTTTGGAAATCACAATGTCCTTGTTTTTGGAAATATATGGAAATGTTATATTCTTCTATATTCTTATTGATATTTGATGTTATCTTTCTTGGTACATCTTTCCTGTCCAACAGATCATCCCGGGTTTCATTACAGCCCTGATGGGGACAAGAAGGATGCTTCTCAGACAAAGGAGGGTCCGACCCCTCGCAGAGGACGCAGAAAAGGTATTTACTCTGTTCTAAAAGATGACACACCTTGAAAGGCTGAACTTTGGACATTTTTCAATGATTCATACGTATGACTTTTCAGAACCTCTATCTAAACTGTTGAAAAATGCCAAGCAAAACGCTGCCAACACTGATGGCGAGAAGGTGAGCAAAAACATGTAAATCAGTCACATATTGAAGCATGTTTAAGCGCACACACACAGATTTGTTTGACTCTTGAAAACGTTCTCCTCTCCAACAGACAAGTCTTGGAGCGACCCTTCTGTCACCGGTGTCCCAGCTGGCTTTAGGCACAATCGGTCGCAGTCGCAGCCTCATCAACCAGTCACAAGAATCCCTCGACCCCGGGGATCACTATGACCACAGTGACAGGGAGGAGGAGCTGCATCTGCAAGATGCTGATGATGAAGATGATAGTGGCCTGGTGAGTCAGTGTAAAAATAACATTAACACCTAAATAAGTACAACTCAACCTTTATTTTTACCGCTTCAAACATTTGATCAATTCTACAACCTCTTCATTCAGGGAGGAAGAAAACGGTTGCGAGTCCCCGGAAAAAGCAGCAGGAAGAGGCTTAACCCTCAGGCGTCTGTTGATAGTATAGAACAGTGGAAAAGCTTCAACATGAGCCCTTCAGACATACAGGTATACAAGTACACCCTGAAAACTTCTGTGTAGATTTTGTACAATACTATACGATACACGTCATAGTTAGGGAACTTTTTCTTGGGAGTCTAGATCATTTCATGCTACCTTAACTATAACTAAAACAACAATTCTTGCTTCCCCCTTTCCCAGAGAGCCAGAGAATCCCTCGTAAGAGAAGGAAGTCACCACCCGCCACTTCTCAGGACACCTAATGTCACCGAGGAACCTCCGGAGTCCCCCATTCCCTCTGTGATTGTGACAGAAAGTGACAATTCTGTAAGGAACATCTGGGCAGACCACCGTGCTCGCAGGGCCATGTTCCCCACCCGCCAGCGAACCATGCAACCTGATGACGAGGATGAAGACATCTACCAGATGTTTGTCCCCACCGAGCCGAGTGCGCCAGAGCCAGAGGTGACAGCGGAGAGGTCGGAGGTCACCTCTTCCCCCAAGACTGCTCGACCCTGTAGCTGGCACATCGAACAGGTTCCAACTGTGCAGGTTGACCCACCACCCAATGGCTGCAGAGTCCTGCGGAGGGCAAGCAGTGCAGGGGAGAAGGCTACAGAAGCTGGACAGACACCTGACGACGACCAGCCCGGGCACAGCAACTTGGAAGTGATCCACACTGAATCATCAAGCAATGACTTATCAGGATCATCCTCAGCTGAGCAGCTGACGCTAGATGATATTGAAAATGTGTATGACAACATCAGCTACGAGGACCTTAAGAGCATGGGCCTTGTCAGAAGAGACCCTGAGGAAAGCCAGCCGGGGAAAGAAACTTCTGTAGATGTACAGGGTTTCCAGGGGAAGTCAGCAGGTGTGCTAAAAGAGCCTGAGGTTCCAGTGGTCACGAAGCCTATGATTGAGCCTGAGAGTTCGTTAGATAGCAACCGGTCTTCGACACAAGATGGAAGGCCATTTGAGCTCAAGATAGTAGAGGAGAGTATCTACGATACCATCTGTTTCAGGGAGCCCCCATCAACGGAGGTCAAGAGTGAGGGCAACAAGCTAAAACAAGAGAGAGACAGTCTGATGGCATCTGAACAAGACCTGACTGGAAGCCTTGGAGCTTTTTTGTCCGAGGAGAGCCTCCACTTCGGAGAGGATGACGGACATGACACCTCCCACCCTGTCACATGTTCCTCTGAGCCGGACTATTCCTCCTCCTCCGCCTCTGAGACTTTCTCCCACCACACGCAGAAAGGAGATAAGATGTCAGAACACGTCGATGAGATCTGGAACGATCTGGAAAACTACATCAAGAACAACGAGAAGAAGGCTGACAAACTGCCTGCTGCCTTCCCTGTCAACGCCAATGAGTCGCCCAAGAAGGCTTCTTCAGTCAAAAACAGTCCTACCAAGACCCCGCTTGTAAATAGTCCTCAACCAGCCAACCCTCCAACCAAGAGTCCCCCAGCACATCAGCCTAAACCTCCCCCTGTCACCTCTACGCAATCTTTCACTATCCCAGTCATCCACCTCCCTGACCTTCAAAGTGAACCCACTGCAGCAGAAGAAAACCATAGCCCTCCTCCTGCCTCACGCCCCCTCCCTGTCGCCCCTGAGCCCCTCCCAGGCACAGTGAAGAACATCAGAAAAAGACTGGCCCGCCTGAGCAGTGGCAGCTTCCGCCTAGAGGACGACGACCTGGTGGAGCTTCCGACACGGAAGGACCTTCATGGCTTATTTCCAGGGGAGTTAGCAGGTCTAGACTCCCCCCTGAGCAACTCTTCTCTCCTGCTGGGCGAGTCTCTGGACTTGTCCTTGGAACTGATGGACAAATCAAAGAGCCGGGTGTTCCTCATGGCCCGTCAGTACAGCCAGAAGATTAAGAAAGCCAACCAGCTGCTGCGCATGAGGAGCATGGACCCTGGGGACTCGTCTACCCGGGCACGGAATGAGAAGAAGCAGAAAGACCTGGCAGCCATCTTGGAAGAGAAGAAACAAGGGGGCGCTGCTATAGGTAACAAATAAACAAAGTTCTCATAGCGATTATACTTCATGATGGTTAATAATTGTGACTTAGAATTCCGAGGGGCACATTTCTAGCACTTAGCTCTCACCACTTGCTGTGCTTTGAGCCCCAGAGGGTCGCTGTTTTAAGCATAAAGATCTAACTAACCCTCTTTACAGTACCCCACCAAAAGGCAGACAAACATAAAGACTAGTTGTAGAACATCAAGTGAAAGAAAAGGCTCAGGTTGCCTTCAGGACTTTGTGAACAGCAAATCAGAGCTCAATAGAGAAAAAATGTGACTTACAACATATAAACACAACAAAAGAATGGTTACGTTTCTTTGTATCTGCTGAGAACACATAGCTGCATGATAACATATCAATATAGATGTGATGGTATATCAATATTTATTAAGTATTCAATGAGTGTGTCTGAGCACGAATTGACAGATAGAGAACAGACTTCAAGTGAAAGTTGGAGGCTGGAGTGAAGTTATTTGCTCTTCACTGTTGTCATATTTTCTCTTCTTTGTACAACTGAAATGATACTTAAGACCCCGGAGCACCCAATTCTAGATCCTATTAAAACAACGTTACATGTTACACATACATTTAACAAAGGCAGCTACAACGTTTAGGCATAAATACGCTAATATCAAATGTCTTTGAAAAAAAATGTAAAACATAAGTGACTAAGCTAAATGTAGCAATATAAACAGTACAGGCATTACTGCATGAAGGTAATAAAACTACTACGATGTCAAACTGCTTTTTTTTAAGATTAGGTGGTGGACTCCTGATAATAATTTTTTTTTTTACTGCAACATAACAAAACAATAAACAACATTTTTGTATTAATATAATGATCTGTAAATGCAACTTAACTTACAAGCTATGCTTCTCAAGGCACAGACGAAGGAGGGAAAGAAAAAGGTGGCTGGAGATGCAGACTGGCCGTCTTGATTAGAATTTTTAAACCGTGACCCAGCCGTGTTATATGACTGTAAATGTCAAAAATGAAATGCTCTAAAATGACCAGCAGGGGGAAACAGGTACAAAATTCTAGCAATACATGACAATGTCCTTCTTTACATTCTTCTGTTCTCTCTTCAGGTGCCAGGATAGCTGAGTACTCCCAGCTCTATGACCAGGTCATGTTTAAAGACCCTCCTGGTACAGCTGGTCAGGCGTCTGTTTCCCCACATCACACCCATCCAGGGCTGCCTTATTCTCCGTCCATGCCTGAGACCTCTCTGGAGGAGGACTGGCTCCACTCCACTTACAGCAACGGGGAGCTGGCCAGCTTCATCTCCTCGTCCAGTGAAGGGGAGGATGCTCGGGTGTCTTCTACCCCGAATCGCAGACTTACCTCCTCCTCCTCCATCCCGTCTCTAAAGACCTTACCCCCCTCTCCAACCACCCCACCTACCCAGAGATGGAGCTCGTGCATATCAGCACCAAGCGAAAAAGAAGAGCATGTGTACAGTACCATAAAGAGACATCCTTCGTTTAACGCTCCGTCTTTGCCGTCCACAAAGTCTTCCCCGTCCGGTCACAGTCAGTCAGTCAGCTCTTTGGGAAACCAACAGCAGGAGAAGAACCAATCCGGACTCAAATGTAACGGACCCACCGTGGATCGATCCGCTGACAGACTCCGTGGCCCAAGTCTGGGCCGCGCTGGTCGGCAGAGTAGCCTCCCAGAGCGCTCCACCAAAGGACTCTCAGAACTCACTTTACACGACGGTCAACAGGTGGTGGTCCTGAACCGAGCCTCTGCACTGAGCATACTCAACGCCACCCAGAACTACCTGGCTAATTTTAAGGACAACGGGGAAGACGACGATGACTATGTAGAGATCCGCTCAGAGGACGAGGGCGAGCAGCAGCAGGAAAGGCTGGCACAGCGAGACGGGAGCTCTGCGGTCCTTTCCAATCAGAACCGGAGTCTTGCCCACTCCCAGAGTCTGCCCTGCACGCCTGTGCGCTCCTGTGACCCGCTTAGTTCTCTAGACCGGGAGCAGCTGGAGAAGTACCTCTGGAGCGAGCCGCAGCACAGCCAACCTAAAATCGTCCAGTCTCTGAGAGAGAAGTTGCAGTGTCTGAGCTCCAGCAGCTTCGCCTGAGCCCCGGACAACTACAAGCCAAATATATACAAACACAAAGCATAGCAACACAAGGGACACTGCTGCTTTACCTTGAATGCCCTTCATCTCTTATCATCACTTAAAAATATACACAATCATCACTACGCAAAGAACAATAGCTATTTCCTTGGGCGCAGACATAATTATTATTTTTGAACTCCTGAACTCTCTGTTACAGGGCTTACAAATGTAATACACGAGTATTATTAACATTTAAACTGCCACATCAGTCTGCATGTGAGCCGCCTTAGCACTTCCAGGTTCAAATACTCCTCTCATGTATTTATCAAAGAGATCTTGCCGTGATGAGATAGCAAAAGTGGTCCAATTAAAAATGGTCTTGGCTGTTTGTAGAGGCATTCTCTACGGCTGAATGAAATCAATTCCATCTATGTTATAGCGTCATGTGTAAGCCTTGTAGGGATCATTTGAGTTTAAGCAGTTGATTCTGCAGGGGGGGACTTGTGCCAATTAACTGTACAGATTCAGTAGTTCAGAATATCTGGTACTGATTTTAAGACATAGAATCTCTTATGTGCCCAATGTCCCAGAGTAGAACAAGAATTAAAAAATCTGAGTATCTTCGGTGGACTCCTCGTGTCAGGAGCACCTCTTTGAACTCTTTCTTTTAATATGCTGTTAAGATTGTTTAAACTGCATTTTTCAGCACTAGTTCATCTTAACCTCTAATATGGAGCAGTCAGTGGCTAGAGTTTTTATAAATGTGCTTACACTATCAAGCCGCTCTTTAACAAGCAACAGTTTAAATCTGCAATCTTAAAAGTCTTCTGCACAGGCTGGATTGTCACTTTTAACAGCTTCTTATAACGTTAAATGTACCAAAAAAAGGATGCAACTGTATACAATACATATTGGCTTCAACGAGATCTCATAGGTTAAGTTATAACTAGGTTGAAATAACTGTTTTTCACTCCTACCCGTCACCTTTTGTAGGGTGTCATCACGCTTTCAAATCAGGAGAGGATGCTTCTATTTTAGGTAATCTATCAGCAATATTAGGAAGTCACATTTTATTTTGAACCTGTGAGTTTATCCGTCACGTGATGATGTATTATTGTCAGGGGGAAACCATCATGTAGAGTAAGATGTGCATCTCAAGATTGGGTTTTTTTTTTTTTAAATCATGCTAAATTAAATTTTAATTAGTTTTAAAGAGGGACCACGGCAGAGAGGATCGGGGAGAGTTGGTTAAAAGGTTACAGTACTGTATTTGGTGTATATGATTTATTTTTTCCAAGTGGATTGTCAACAGTTTGTTTACGTTATTGGACACTGGTCTCACTACTGATACTACATCCACATTCACAAAGAGGGTATGGTTGTTTTCGGTCACTGCAGTATGGTTCATAAAACACAATTGTTTCCCCACTTTTTTTTTGGTGCATATTAAGGATTCACCACATGTTTCTAAAAAAAACTAAAATGACTTAAGTTGTCCTATTTATTTGAAAGTATCAATGTTTTTTTTTTTTTTTTTTTTAGCCATTATTGCTTTAACTTAAAGCAACACAAGAGATGTAAAATAAAGTAAAACATATTTATTTAAAGAAGGTTTTATTCCGTTTAAGAGGCAAAGACAAAATTTGAATCAAATACTGTGAATATTTTCAAAAGTGGGTTTTTCGATCACGCACTGCTTAATGTAAGTTCCAAATCACTAAAACACGTGAAAGGTTGACACACACACAGAAAAGCACAATATCACGGCCTACTGGTGACATCAGGAAATCTGCATCAAACCCAAGTTAGGAATATGAAGTATGTTCTGTTTTCATTGTACAATGTGTCCTCTGTTTCACTGGTGGGGATCGTTCGTCTGCGTTGACGCTGTTTTGCACTTTTCTGTCTTTTTTACGTTTGATTTGTAAACACTTTGTAAAGATGTACATTTTAGGAAAGTTATTCTTGTATGCCATAGGTATGCTTTATAATGCTTTAATGTTTAAGTTAAGTGTATTTTTTTTAACTGGCTAGTTGTCATTGCTCAACAAAACAATGTATTGGAGGTAATAAAATCCGATTAAACTCAGACCTGTTTGTTTTGTCATTTTAATGCATAGAACCTGTGTTTGTTTATCCGTTTAAAGACTAAATAAATAGATAGTAGCCCAACTATGATAAAATAATATTCCTAATGTATTGTTTGGAGAACATTTCTCCATTTTCTCCTCAGCTTGTGAAACTCTTACGCCAGTTAAAAGTCCTCCTCACTACTCTTAACAGTTTAACACCGTAGGAGCTCTCTAAAGCTTTGTGAATACCGTTCATCTGTCCAAGGATCTAGTCTTAACTTTAAGGGGAAATGCTTTGAAAATGTCAGGATTCTTAGAATGTTGTCACTCCGAGCACTTCTAAAACAGTTTTAATATTTAGGAGACTAAGTGAATGTCATTTATTTTGTTAGACAATGTGTGTTTTAGTCAGCAGACGCTCAGCTGGGGACACAAATAGTGAATCCCCTCTTTTTTCAAAGCATAGATGTTTATTTTTTATCACAACTTAGAAATATCCACACAGCTTGAGCAGTAAGAAATAGATGAGCTGCACTGAAGATTAACTGATACCAATTTATGAACTTTCATCGACCATTGGATTGATTTGACATATTTATTTTACAATAATGCCTTGTTTTCAAGCCACAAAATACCATAATGTGTTTCCTATCATTGCAGCAACAGCACCAGTGTGTTGTAGTTTCCAGAGGCCATCAAACTAACTTACTTTCTCTATATTCATTGGTTGATTTGGCTCTTCTATGTCATAAAAATAAAATATTAATCAATAGACTGGAGAGTAAGGGAACAGTTGAATTAAAATAAAGGATATACACAATAGGCAGGTTTCGTTCTGATTATTTATATATTTGATAAACTGTGATCCAGATTTCCAGTTGATGATGTTATTCATCTTACAGCACCAATGTTATTGGATATTTTATAAATGGCAATTAAATCAGCTTTAATTGTTATTATACTAAACGGTTATTTAATGTAATTTGTTCAACAAAGTTTTCAACAAACCATCATTAAATCAGCTTGAATGATTTGACTTCCTCACACTTGAATTTTATCCACGCCTTTTACAAGTTACTACAAGTGAGCACTACAAGGCAGGACAGATGTGTTAGGGTTAGGATCTTTGAACTCACAGCAAGAGGATCAGGCAATGGGTTGGAATCCGACCTCAGCCCTTTGCTGCATGGTATCCCCCACTTTCTCCTCCCAACCTTTCCTGTCTCTCTTCACCTTTCCCTTCTCATAAAGGCAATAAGGCCCAAAACAAAGAACTGCTTCCTCACAGCGAGAAGGTTGAGAGTTGAAATCCCAGCAGGGTCGTCTCCATATGTAGCCTGACTTTCTCTTGCTTGAGTTTAAAACATGCTATTCAACTGCATTTATGTATGGGAAAGTACAGTTCATGTGAACCATAACAAGCGAGCACTGCAATAAGGCCTGTTTAAATGGTGCACACACGCTAACCACTGAGCTAAACCAGTGCCCCCCCACAATTAAATTGCACTCCTGGTTTAAAATTAGTCCAACATTTGGGCTTTATGGTTCTTTTATTGAATCATTGTTAAATTTTGTCATTTAATGACTGCCTGGACCAACAATTATTTTTTTCAGGAGCTTTATGAGTTTTTATCCCATTTAATTTCTAAATCTGAAAAAAAAATCCTTGCTTTAGGTGATTTTAACAAGTATATCTGTTGCTTTTCTCACACTTTTTTGTTGATTTTATTCACATCCTAGAGTCTTTTAATCTCAGTCAGGCAATACAGAGCCCTCCACACTCACAGGGTCACACACCCTTAATTAACATACACTCATCTGCGGCAGTTTTCTTTTTTCTTCTTCTTGATCACCACAAGTCTTAAAATGTGTCCGTGGGACAGACAGCAGGTGTAGGGTGTTGGACCTTAATGAACGGATTTGTGAATTCAGGTGAATAAGTTCTGACAAACATTCTGGGGACTGACAGTTAAGGGCTCTATAAAGAGGTTTTTTTAAGTATTCAATGAAATCTGGAAATATGCATAGAAAAACATTCAAAAGGCACCCAAAGAGGCAACGGCACAATTTATTATTCTGATCTATTTTTTTGCAAACACACTATTGTATTCATACTTTTAGAATCAATCACAACCCCCTCCTCGTGTCATTTTGCAGATCTCTGTACCTTCCTGTACATATGTTATTGTGTGAAATGTTTTCTTTTTGTAGAAATAAATATTACTTCAGATGTTGTTGAGAAAATATCCCTCTTCTCTGTGGTTATTGAACCTCTCCTTTTCAGGTTGAAATACAAATGTTTAGTTCCCTAAAGCTGTAAAGGTTCAGAAGTGTAATGGAAGTGTGGTTATAATAATTGTGCAGGGTTGGCTCAGGCTGTGGTGTTTGAAGCCCACAGTGATATCTTCTCTCTGGGCCCAGAATTCCTGGTGATGCGCCTGGATCATCAATATTACGGTGGCTAGGAAGTGCAAAGCAAAATTACAAAGTGTTGAACACTTTTACAAAATGTGACACAAATTTACATTTTGAAAAACATTTTTATATTTTATGAAACAAAAACAAAAACACTTACCGAGGACAAAACAAATTTACAAGATGTGAAACACTTTTACAATCGCTGAGTCAAATTTACAAACGACAGAATCTTGACGGAAAGGGAATGTACCGCGACAAAACAAAACAAACAAAATGACCCCTCACTCGATCACTTCCATACCGGGTCACTTCGGACATTTAGTACATTCCCATTTTGTCAAGATTCTGTCGTTTGTAAATTTGTTTGGGGATTGGTAAAAGTGTTCTGCCTCTTGTAAATTTGACTCAGCGATTGTAAGAGTGTTGTTTTATAAGATGTAAATGTGTTTGATGTAAGTGTTTTTGGTTTTGTAATTTTGTTTTCAAAAAATGTAAAAAGGTTTTTAAAAATGTAAATTTGTCTCACATTTGTAATTTTGCTTTGCCGTACAATATGGCAGTAAGAGACAAAAGTAGATATTACGTTCACATGTAACTCAAAAAATAATAATATGAACAATTTGTCTAAACACAATAAGCACAAAGTACAAAAATTACATTTTAATTATAAAAAGGGGAAATGTACATCCACAAAAAAATCTATCTGCACATCTTTCCACTGAACAGAAGAGGGAGCAGTATCAGCCTTCAATAGACAAGAAACGTATTATTAAAGAAGAGGCTGAGGCATGATGGGAAATGAAGTGTATAGAAATAATATAGCAAAACGTTATTTTCTGAAATGATTTGAGACCATTTCCACGTGAAAATGAATATAGAAAAACAGTTTATTAAAACGTATAATAGTTGAAAAACTCCCTTATTCCTCTTTTTTTTATTATTTTCTTTCTCGAAGCTTCTGCTTAATGCCGGTTTACCCACAATGCACCGCGCCGCTTCCTTTCTTCTCGGTCGTGTGGTGCTCTGAAAATGTCGCTACTAGATGGTCCGTTAAATGTGCTCGGCCAGAGAACAACTGGCGAATCTGTTCGCACTCAGAATGGTGAGTTTAGTTTCTGCTACAGTTTTTTTGTTTCTTACGCGCACTGCGTGTTTTTTTTGGTGACGTAAGATCAACGAGAGAACTGATTTAATTTACAGTCTGCGACACACACGTGTGGCTAATGCTAATACAAGCTAACTCTGATTTATTTATTTTTTAATTATGCTTCTACGACTAATGCAAGTATGCAAAGCACTGTGGAGTTGTGTTGTGTTTACACCCACTCTAACAGCTTTAAAGTGTGGATTGCACGTCCCGTTATAGTACCTTCCACTCCCGTCTCGTTGAATGGAAGGCTATGCTAATGGGATAGAAAAACATAGTCATGGTCTGAGGGTGTGGTTAACCTTTTTGTGTGCCCACTAAATAAATTGACAAGACATGTTCGGTATGGCGGTGTTATTATATTCTAGTACTGTACAGCTGACTGTGAAGATAGGTTGTACTTGATATCTTTTTGTTAGTAGCAGCTGTCTTCTTGTCTTTTGCAGTCATGGCTGCATCGTCCATCGCCAACATCGTCAAGAGCTCCCTCGGACCTGTTGGCCTCGACAAGATGCTGGTTGACGACATTGGGGTCTGTTTCCTATCCTACATCACGTTTAATCAGTAATAATAATAATAACTTTATTTATATAGCACCTTTTTTTTTAAAAAAAAACACAGGTTTACAAAGTGCTTTGACAAACAGCAAGAACAAACTGAACCAAACACAGGAGAACATTAACAACAGTAAGATATAACATGCAAAATACTAAGAATGATTAAATATAATTCAACAGAAAAGACCCAAAGTGCACGATACCCTTCAGACATGTACAACCCGACCATCACAAGAACCATTATAAGAACCCAGGAAACACAAGAACCCAACAACAAGAGCTGAGACCAAGAGGAACCAAAGATTTAAAAATATGTAAGAAACTAAAAGAGCTGAAAAAAATAAATAAAAAGATAACAGCAGCAAAAGAAATAGAAACAAGTGGTTAAAGGATCAAAAAACCCAAAACTATAATATTAATTAAAAGTAAATATAAATATGAAACATAAATAGACAACGTAAGATAAGAAATTACCAAGTTAAAACACAAGAGGAGATTAAGATATGAGCATAAATAGGAGATAAGAGCCTAAATAAAAGAACAGTAAGAAGTACAAGAAGATAAAAAATAGTTTAAAAAAAAGTAAGTAAGAAGACGCACCACATAAAAAGCAAGTCTGTAAAAGTATGTTTTAAGAAGGGATTTCAGTGTGTGTATCATTAATAAAAAAAAATGTTTATCCTGAGTTGTTTGTAAGGTTGGGGCGATTGGACCAAAACTCATCTCGATATTGTTTAGCTGAATGGCGATACTCGAGATATATATATATATATATATATGTGTATTTTATTAACAGTGAAAACACGTGGAAAACGAAACTACCTGTTTGTGAATTTAGAAAGTAATATTATAAAATAAAAATGTTCCTTAAATACAATAAGAGACAGAGGAGGAGCAAGGTTAAGAGAGACAGTCAGTCAGTCATCAGTGAGATGAAAAAAAAGGTGACCTGGCACCTCTGTAACGTTATTTTAATGCAGCTTAAACTATATCGATATTAACGACCTTGTCTTACCCTATATCTTGTTTGAAAATATATCGATATATCTTAAAAACTCGATATATTGCCCAGCCCTAGTTGCTTATCTTTTTTTTTGGTTTGTTTTTGACAGGACGTGACCATCACCAATGATGGAGCCACCATCCTGAAGCTGCTGGAAGTGGAGCACCCAGCTGCCAAGGTGCTGTGTGAACTGGCTGACCTGCAGGACAAGGAGGTCGGAGATGGGACCACTTCTGTGGTGAGTGGGGGGGGGACAAGACGCCTGCTCCTATGTGGTGTCAGAGCTTTGGCATATTGTCATTTGGTAGCTCAAAGGGAAAATGATCGTGGCTTGTAAACTTTGCTGGTTATTCTTTATCTGTATTCCTGTCATTTAATGCAAAATGGATGTCCTGTTTTAGTACCATGCATCTGCCCTTTAACGGATGTGTGGCTATGCTAACGGGATAGAGAAATTGTCCTTCAGTGTCTGAAGGGGTCGAGCAGTACCATTTCTGCCTCCCCTAATGAAATGATGGCACAGTGAATATCAACATGTTGTTGTTAAAAGTTAGAATATGGACGGCATCTCAGATTTTACTCATTAAGTTCGTCGTCGTTCTTCCAGGTAATTATTGCAGCAGAGTTGCTCAAGAGTGCAGATGAGCTGGTGAAGCAAAAGATCCACCCCACATCAGTCATCAGTGGATATCGTCTGGCTTGCAAGTAAGATGCTAACACTGAGAACTACTCTTTATAGAGATCATCTCTGTATCAAGCAGATGTGTTCCCATTTTTTTGACATGAAACTGTTTTCAATCTTCCAGGGAAGCAGTTCGCTACATTAATGAGAATCTCACAATTGGGACAGATGACCTGGGCAGAGAGTGCTTGATAAATGCAGCCAAGACCTCATGTCCTCAAAAATCATTGGGACGTATCTTTTTTTTCCATTTGCATTGCATGTGTTAAGATCCAACTTACAATTTCCTGCTTTTGTATGCTTGGAGTTTGCAAGAACACTTGGGGCACAATTCATATTAATTAATTCTTAATACGATAATGAAGCCTGTATCTGCCTTAACCCCAATCCCTCAGTGAAGCAGACTTCTTTGCCAACATGGTGGTGGACGCTGCCTTGGCTGTGAAGTTTGTGGACGCCAAGGGGGTGGCCAAGTATCCCATCAACTCTGTCAATGTGCTGAAAGCTCACGGCCGCAGCCAGAAAGAAAGCTTCCTTGTTAATGGCTACGCAGTGAACTGCATTGTTGGCTCACAAGGTTAGTTAAGTTCAATATTTCAACTGTAACATGTGACTTGCTTATGAAACCCCTCCTACATCTATAAATCCTTTTTTGAACTCCCATTTAAATTTGCTGCCATGCCTCACTTGATGGCTTGAGCAGTGATACGCGTGGGAAACAGTAGACTGGCTTTGAAGAATGTAGACACAGTAGTTTGTTTACTGTGGCATTTCTCTATCCAGACAGTATAGTATCACTAAGTAGAAGGATATGTTTCAAAATCTGGAAATTGAATTGTGACATAGTCGGGTTTTGAGGTGCACTTGATTGATTGGATTTTTTTTAAACATGTTTTGTCTTATTTACAAAGGCATGGTGAAGCGTGTTGTTAACGCCAAGATTGCGTGCCTGGACTTCAGCCTGCAGAAGACCAAGATGAAGATGGGAGTCCAAATCATCATCAACGACCCAGAGAAGCTTGACCAGATCAGACAAAGGTGGATACTACTTTTCACCTTCTTGCACCGCCGTACACAGCCTGAAGGCTATCCCATTTAAATTTGCTGTGATGCTTAATCAATAGTTTACACAGTGATACGCGTGGGAGAAAACAAAAGTAGCCCATAGTCAAGGCAGCAGCTTCTATCTGAGCTGTTTTATGAGTACTGTGGGCTGGACAATTTTGTAAAGAATTGTATATAATGTATTGTATTGTGGTATTACCAGTGATGCTGAGTCATCATCTTTTGTTGTTACAGAGAATCTGATATCACCAAGGAGAGGATCCAGAAGATTTTGGCAGCAGGCGCCAACGTTATCCTGACCACCGGTGGCATTGATGACATGTGTCTGAAGTACTTTGTGGATGTCGGAGCCATGGCAGTGAGGAGGGTTCTCAAGAGGGACCTCAAACGCATCGCGAAGGCAACAGGAGGTAGGCTGAAAGAACTTGAAGGGAAAGCGTACTTTTCCATTTTTAAGGACTTGGTTTAGTTTTTCTGTTCAGAGATTGAAACTTATAATTGACATTATTTATGTTTGTAATTTCTCAGCAACCATCTGCCCGTCTCTGACCAATCTGGAGGGAGAGGAGACGTTTGAGGCCACAATGCTTGGCATGGCTGAGGAGGTCGTGCAGGAACGCATCTGTGATGACGAGCTCATCCTTGTTAAAAAGTAAGGACTGCAAGTTTTGTACTGGGTACACAATGCTGTATTTTGGGTTAAAACATTTCAGTGCATGTCATTTATCCTTGTGTAGTTCTGGTAAGAGCTGTGAAAAGCTAGGACAGTGGAAAGAATTGTGATTTGCATGATCGTTTGTCTAAATTAAATTACTTTTGCATTGACACAGCACCAAAGCACGCACATCAGCATCCATCGTCCTGCGTGGGGCCAACGACTTCATGTGTGACGAGATGGAGCGTTCGCTGCATGATGCCCTCTGTGTGGTCAAGAGAGTGCTGGAGTCAAAGTCTGTAGTGCCAGGAGGAGGCGCTGTGGAGGCAGCTCTGTCTATCTACCTTGAGAATTACGCTACCAGCATGGTGAGCTTGATAATAAGCAAAAAGAAAATTAGGCTGTGGGATGCTTTCTCCCCAAAGAGAAGATTTGTTGAAGCATGCCGCTTGTTGTGTTCTGCAGGGTTCTCGGGCAGCTGGCTATTGCAGAGTTTGCTCGGTCCCTCCTTGTCATTCCCAAGACCCTCGCTGTGAACGCAGCACAGGACTCGACTGATCTGGTGGCCAAGCTTCGGGCCTTCCACAACGAGGCTCAGGTTAATCCTGAACGCAAGCATCTCAAGTGGTGAGTCTACAAAGTTGAAAATGATTGGGTTCTTCACTCTTGGTTGGAACATAAACACCATGGGCTCTAGAAAAGGCAAATTTACTGAAAATGAGCACTAATGTTTGTTGCCGCTTTAACATCGCCCCCTTTTGCTGCCCTTTTATTGATATGAAAAATTGAGGCAAAACACTTGAGAGGTTTAAAAGAAAATCCTGTACAGGTGAAGGACTTCGTTGTACATTGAGTCGTTTCTTAAAGTTCATAACACCGCGACTTGTACACTTGATTTAGAGGTATGTGAACCATGCTGTATGTGAATACTATTTGGTCTTGCAGGATCGGTCTGGACTTGGTAAACGGAAAGCCGAGGGACAACCGCCAGGCGGGGGTGTATGAGCCCACTATGGTAAAAACGAAGAGCCTGAAGTTCGCCACAGAGGCGGCCATCACCATCCTCCGTATTGACGACCTTATCAAACTCTTCCCAGAGCAGAAAGAGGGCGGACAGTCGTACCAGGATGCCGTGCAGTCGGGATCTCTGCAGGGCTAAGAGGCTGTGATAGGTCCAGAAGTTCATTGTCTGTATTTATACATTAGGAGCTCTTCATGGCTGTTGCTCTACTGTAGGCTGTGCACTTTGCCTATTTACTGTTCTCTCACTCCCTGTCTCTTGCCCACGGAGGAACTGTAAGTCATTTGTTTTTTTTGGACACTCAATAAAGCTCCAATGGTTGTAAATGGCCGTTGATTTGTTAATTCAGGTTGGCTATCTGTCCTTCTTTCTGCAGGCTTTGATTAATGAATTCAGAAGACTTCATGGCTTATTCTAATTCTTTACTGATATGTTGAACAGAGACATTACAGGAAACATTTTCATAAACATATAGCTTTGTACAGGAAGCTCAAGGTTAGAGAATGCTGGCATACTTAACCTTTATGGCACTTAGCTGTATTAGTCTGCACAATAGGTCAGAGAAAGAGGAATGTATATCAGTTTTCACAATGTTGTTGGTAACCAATGGCAACACCACCAACCAAAATCTGAGTTTGAGCAATTTCTAAAAATAAAAAAATATTGCCATATCAGGCACCCGTGAAGCCATCCTTTTGCATATTTAGGACCTGATTCACTAAAGGATTGCTCAGCTCTTGACCCCGCTAAGTGGGCAAACAGCGTTGGTGATTTTTGGGCAATAACTACCATTTATATTGAAATGGTAAGAAGGTATCTGCGCCACTATTTGTAAGGGCTGTTAAGCAACCTTTCCAGGGGTTAGGAAAACAATTTCTCCTGTTTGACTATGAAATAGTAAATGATCTGTTTTTAAAGTCGGTAAATATTACTTTGATGTTCCCATTACAAATAGTCCATCAAATTCAGACGCAAAACGAGAGCAAACTGCACGGAGCAGGACGCCTTTTCGCCTGAATATATTTTGCGTTGATACTTTGTGAATTACACCTTGAGACGGAGAAGATAGCGGGAGCAATTGAAGCTCAACTTTTGGAGCTATTAGCTGCAGCAATCCATTCTTAGTGAATCAGGCCCTTAATGTTTTAATTTCTTCAGTTGTGCACAACTGAAAGCAGGTTAAACTACTCCCTTTTAGTAAAGTGACTATTTAGCAAAACTTATACCTGACTGCAAGAAGTAAAATATGTACGACTGGTTTATGTTAAAGCTGTCAGCATACACAAGTTATACATGGACACATCCCAGATAGTTCTGCATTAAGTCACATGCTACTAAGCTAGAACCTGAGGAAAAATTAATTTAAGAATTTCACAGTGAGAAGCAATTACATTTACTCCAATCATTTCTGCCTCAGGTACAGTGATTTAAAGACCCCTAGTAAACTATTTTATATCAAGTCCTGCAGCGTAAACATATTTCAGTATCCCTTATCCGTTTAAAATAGTTTAAGTGCAATTCATGTCCCATCTCAGTCCCTCTCCACGCACATGGCGATGCCCATGCCTCCTCCGATGCAGAGAGACGCCACTCCCTTATGGCCTCCAGTCCTCTGCAGAGCGTGCAGCAAGGTCACAAGCACTCTGCAGCCGGACATGCCGATGGGATGGCCCAGAGAAATGGCACCGCCACACACATTTACCTGGGGAAGGAAGAACTCCATGAGTTTGTACATAGTTTGATTCTGGAGTTAAATGCATAAAAGACGGAAGTTAGACATCTCTTTGCCAAAAAAAAAAGAAAACTTGTTCATACCTTGTCTACATTCAGCCCGAGCTCTTTGACCACAGCAATAGACTGAGCAGCAAATGCCTCATTAATCTCAAATAGGTCGACTTGGTCTAGCTTCCAACCTGCTTTTTCAACCTATCAAAGACAAAAAAAAGACACAAGTAAACACAAGGAAGAATTCAACAGTTATTTTTTTAACATCAAGGTGCCTCTGACTTCTCACCGCTTTCTTGATGGCTGGTATTGGTCCGGTTCCCATGATAGACGGGTCAAGGCCAGCTTGAGCCCACGCTACAATTCTAGCCATGGGTTTAATACCTCTCCTCTCAGCCTCTGACTGACTCATTAGGACGGTTGCTGCTGCTCCATCATTAATACCTACAGTACAAAGAAAAACATATTTATAAGATTAGATGAGAAAAAAAAAAAAAAAAACTCTCTAAATGTTTCAAGGCTCAAACCTGAGGCGTTTCCAGCAGTGACTGTTCCACTGCTGTCCTTGATGAAGCAGGGTCTGAGTTTGGACATGCTGTCAACCTTGCTGCCGTGACGGGGGAACTCGTCCACCTTCACCTCCACTGGACCTGAAGATGTCAGACATGAGACTGGATGAGACCATTTTTTCTGAAACAGATGTTACATTGTGAATTTATTGGCTCCAAAGCTCTTTACCTTTTCTGGACGGCACCACGACCGGGACAATCTCTTGGTCAAAGTGTCCTGCTTTCTGCGCAGCTTCTACTTTGTTCTGGGACTGGACGGCAAACAGGTCCTGCTCCTCTCGAGTAACGGCCCACTGCTTTGCCACATTCTCAGCTTGGGAATTAGATTTTAAAATATATACATCATTAAAATAAATACTTAGATGTGTACATGTATAAATATATATCCTCCACCATGCACACCTGTGATGCCCATGTGGTAGCCATGGAAGGCGTCTGTCAGGCCGTCCGCCACCATGGAGTCCTGCAGGGAGGCATCGCCCATCTTCACTCCTGCTCTCATTTGCAGTGTGTGAGGAGCCTTTAAGGGAAACAGGTAATCAATACATCTCAAAGAAACTACCTTTTGTTTTTTTCAGAACAACACATGTAGCAGGATTAAGATTTAGGGTTCTGACACTCAGTTGGATACTTGAAGAAGTCTTTCTTGAGCAAAGAAGTCTGTACTGATCAGAAAGGGGTTAAACGGACAGTCAAAAGGTATTAGGCAGGAAAATGTTATAATTTAGGGTCAGTGATGTTACACTATCAGGGAAGCATAAAGTGATACTAAAGAGAAATCTGCATAACTTGCCTAAAAGTTGTCAGATCATTTTTCCAAATAAAAACAAATATTTTTGGTAAATTTGCAAGATATCTGTAGTTGTCGCAGAAAATTGTGTTTCTTTGTACGGACTGTAATGTAACTACAGGGAAAATGTTTTATTTTGACACGTATATAAGTTCAATGGTTTGTTACTGACACCTACTGGTCACATTCAGATAGATACTAACTGCAGCATTAACACTGAGGATCAGGTAACTTTTAAATGTTTCATTTTCATTGTCACTTTAATCTAATTCAAATTAAATCAATGTAATATTCCTCTTGAAGTCACTCCTTGTGTTATATAGCCTACCCTGCTCATACTCTCCATGCCCCCTGCCACCACTATGGCAGACTCTCCAGTCTGAATCGACTGAGCTCCCAGACACACAGCCTTCAGTCCAGAGCCACACACCATCTGGCAGCTCCATGAAGGGACAGGGTAGGGGATACCAGCCGCAACACTTGCCTGACGTGCTGGGTTCTGCCCATTACCTAAGAAATACAACAGAAATAAACAAATAAGTAAACAAAATCACAGCAGAATGACACCAAACAAACACACATTCACAAAGGACAGCTGCCACACTTCTATTGCAGCGGTTCATAGTTTTCACCTGCTGTTAGGACATGTCCCATGATAACCTCAGAGACCTCTTCTGGCTTCACAGCTGCCCGCTTCAGGACGTCCTTGATCACCACTGAACATAAGTCAGGGAGTGGCACTGTGGACAGAGCTCCATTCAAGGACCCTGTGTGAGAATGATCAATAAGGAGATCAAAGTCAGTGATAATTCAGTTCATTTTAGATCTCTTCTTTTACAAGATAACAACTTTATTGAGCCCCAGAGGGCAAATTCAAGATTGTGCAATTTTTGTACATTGTATAAACTGTCGGATTTTGTAGCACTGATTAAAACGCAGATGTCATGCATGCTTACAACTAATGCTGCTGTAGCAAGAGTACACATTTTGTATGGCAATTGGCAGAAACTAAACAAACTTCAATTTAAATACCCCCATACTGGTCATTGGAAGTCGACAATGCAAAGTAAACTTTCACCAGGATTCACATAAGATATTGAAGATATTCCTGCTGTACACTTTTCTAAATACACCCAGACACAGAGTCACACTAAACGTACTTTATCCATAGACTGTAGATTGTATCCTTGCTACAAATCACGCCCAGCTTGCTGTGACACGGTAGGTAACCAATGGCAGCGAGCTCGTGCTACGTGGAACTATTACAGCCAGCCAATCACTGCTCACAGAATACTCCGAACACATTAACGAACCAATCAGAACCCCGCAAGACAACGCGAATTTGATTAAATGACACCAACCACGAAAAAAAAAAAAAAAAACATTAAATAAGACAAATGTGAAATACCATGTTTAAACAGAGAATGACAGCTTCAATAATTATTCATTTTCATTGTAGTTAATATAAACAAAACAGTGAGGACACATAGTCAATTAACATTTTCAGGAACTGCAAACTGTTTCAAATGATTTTTTTTTAATTATATATCTCACCAATGGGAGTCCGAGCAGCAGATACGATGACGACAGGTCCGTTGTTCATTTTGATGGATAATAGTCCGGTTCAAGTTGCAGTCCTTGCATTCAAAGTGTTGTTCCTGAATGTCCACACTGCGCTGTGCTCCGCTGTTGGCTGATAGGTCGATACTGCCTGTTCGTCAGAGCGTCACTGTGAGTTATGTTCAAGCGGTGGTTGTTTGCACCACAGCGCCGTCGTGTGTTTCGGAGGAGTAGTGTTCATTCACATGGATGTCACTTCTTCATATGTAGTTTATTGAAACATTTAAATGAAATGTTGTTCTAATTGACTCGAAATACAAATTGTTCGTTTTATATTCTATGTATTTTCATAATAAAAACATTACAGATGTACTGCATCTACTATGGGATACTGATATTCTTTAAACATTGTTCTTTTAAATTATTCATACAAATGCATGTTAACTACTTCTCTGTATCCTTTTCCTATTTTTCATGCAATACTTCCCCATACTATGAGTTTGAATGTATCATGTCATCTGAGGTCTTCACAACTTAAATACTATACTTAATCCCACTTTAAAATAAGGCCAAATGTTTAGTGTTTTTTTTTTTGTTAGAATCCACTCAATCTTCACTCGGTTGATTATATATCACAAGACCTTCAGTTGAGCAAATAGGTTAAACAAGCATTTAATGTTCATATGGATATTTTTGGGTAGTAAGGATAAGTTTCACTGTAGTATTAAAAATCTTTATTGGTATTTGGTCAGTACATGAAAAGGACTGAAGTCAGAATAATATGAACATCGCATAGAAACTACTCACAATTCAACTGGATCTTTTGAACACCATTTTTTTGTCAATGAAAAATTAAAATTGCATTAAAAAAAAAAAAGAAGAAAAACACAGGCCAACATCTAAAAATGACCCTTGAATTTTGCGAAGCTACTGTAATTCAGTGATTATACTGACTGACGATGAGTTACAACACCAGATGCCTGATTTCAGTGTCAAGAGCTCAAACAAAAACGGCATAGACGTGCTCAAACTAACAGCAGAATGAAACGTACTAGTTTTTAATCATACATCCACTCGATTCAACATTAACCCATTCCTGTTATATCCCTGTTTAGCAACACAAATGTGACTGAAGCGTCACGAGGGCGGGGGGGGGGTAAGGGATGGTAGGTGAAAACAAAACGTCTTGGACAGCAGTGCTGTGTCACAGACTATGCATTTGTTGCCTTGTTTGTATATTATAAAAAAAAAAAAAAAATAGACAGTGGATGTCAAAAGTACATTACAAAACTGCGGTGTCACTCGTGCTGGTGTCTAGGCCGTTCTGAGTGTGCCGTGACCCTGCAGTCCTGGTGCTCTTGGTCACCACAGCAGCCTTGTCCTCATGGGGGTCGGTTGTGGAGTCTGTGTCATTCGAGTGCTGAGTCAATGATGCCTCGCTGCCAGTTGGAGAGTCCACGCTCTCGTACCCCGCACTCAGCTGGCTCCCGAAACCCACAGGTCCTCCAACTCTCCCAGCAGCAGTCTGACTCCCTGACGCCTCCTCAGAGTGGTTGGACAGTTTGGTCTCAGCTTCACCTGGGCTCGAAACCATTGGGGACATGGGAAAGTCTTCCTCTGTGCTGCTGACCTCCCGGTACAGGCTGGGTGTAGTGGTCTCACTCCTCTGGGATGAGTTGCCATTGCTTGGTCCATTGGAAACCCTCCCGAAGTCTTTGCCCATTGGATCAGGGGTTGCGCTGGCCTGCTCTGGCTGGGTGGACGGGTCGGCAGACGAGCAGGAAGCTGATGGTGAAGTCCTGCTTGGTCCTGCTCCAGCCAAGGCCCCTTGGTTTTGAGACAGCTGCTGACGAGAGTCCTTCAACTGCTGCTGCAGGACAAGGATGGTGCTCTGCATCCCCTCTACCTCCTCGTCTAGCTGGATGATAAAGTCGTTCAGCTCTGTTACAGGAGACCATCAGGAACAGAAAGAAAGTCAATCATCAAATTAGCAGTAGCATGTTATGATGACAAACATGACAAGCAACCACATGTTGTCAGAAATGAAAGCCAGGTCGCTCTCACCGTCTTGACTGCTCTTGAGCTCCTCGCTGTACTTCTTCTGCAGGGCCAACTCCGCCTCCAGCTGGGCGATGCGCCCCTGGGACAGCTGCCTACCCAACTCCTGGTTTTCCTGAATCAGCATTCGACACTTGGCCATCAGTTTCTTCCCCGTTTGGCTGTAAAGGAAACAAGTCTCACATCACACAGTGAACCAGGGGGGAAAAAACACAGCCGCTAAAAACGCCACAGATCTGTTCTAACTGCCTGATCCTCAAGCTAGGGGTCAACAGTCATTCTTTAAGCTGGCCTTTCTTCAATGACTATATGGTAATCACATTTTTTTTTTATTTTTTACATCCAATATAGTCCAATTGAAAATAAAACTACCAGGAAGACGCTGGCCAAAGAGATTATTCCTTATTTAAGATTCAAAACACATTTTCTCTCATCAAGTAATAGTATAAAAAAATACCAGAAATCTAACGTCACTGCACCCAAGCGCCCTAAAATGACCAAAACATTTCTGAATACGAGTAATGCATCACTTTAAACGCTAACTTTACACAATATTGTGTATTTAAGAATAAGTGAGTACTTAAAAACAAAAGCAGCAATCCTGCAACTGCCAAGATCAACCAAAGTTCAAACACACTGGCTTGATCCCCGAGTTTAAGGGAAAAGCAGATGAAAACATGTAGGAGAGTTATTATTAGAATAACACATTACCAGATTCCTACAATTAAAGATCAACAATGTGAATGGCAAAGAGACATGTACACTCCAGAACCCAGCACTGGTTTTGTGTAGTCATCATTTAAACACACAGAAGCAAGTGTTTAAACAGTTAAATCAGAAGAGCGTCAGGCGCTGATTTCAATTCACAACAGGTTATGCAACACTTCCAAAGTCCAGCACAACTGTCGTTTTAAAAGTATTTATGAAGTGTAAAACCTTTAAATCTGCATGCCTAATTTAAAAGAAACAGGCAGTCACACTATGAAAACTAGAATCAACTCGCAATCTATTCGGTCTGCAGGAACGGAGGAAACTTTAACATTAACTAAAATGATCCAATTAAAGCAAGAGTAGTGGCAAAGTGGCAACAGCTTAGAAAACACATCAAAAATAATGGATGTTATTCTTACTAGCTGCATCAAAAAATGCAATCATGAAATACATATAATGTAGTTGGTTGCCTTGTGCGTTGTCTGTAGTGAAGCAGTTCTTTTACATCTTTTTTAAGGGGACTGGAAAACATGCTTTTTGCCTAACAGCTGTTTTTACACTACCAGCTCAAATCTCACCGTCGTATCTCAGAGTTAGAAACCAGAGTAGGAATGAGATTTTTTTTTAAAACAGCAAAGGATCAAAATCCTGTTCCAAATGGTTTTCATTCTGAAGACAGTGGCTTAAGATCTGTGCAACACAGGTGAGTAATTGAAGTCTAGTCAGTTACTAACATGATTGGCTGGGGGAAAGATTGTGAGGTCAACAACAGAAATACACAGAAATACAAGAAATACATTCTCAAAAACTCAGAACAAGACTTTTTAAAGACATTTGCATTCACAAGTTATAAACAGGACTCAGTGCACCTACAGCAGTGTGTTTCAGTGTGTAACTGAAGAATTATCATTTAAGTACAAATATTCATACAAAGTGGAAAAAAAACAAAGCCAATCATGCTTCTGGGTTCACACACACTGCAGTAAGTGTTTGTTTCAGAGAAACAAGAGAAAAGATCAAATGAAATGCCAATAAAAAGAAATAAGTCACAAAATAAAACATGTAAATACACTCTACCGTGAGTGGGCCCATGTTCAAAGACACAGGCGACAGGACCCTCACGACTCGACCACAGCCCTCTCTGTGGGCCGAGGATCTGGCTCCGCTCAGAGTCTTAACATCCCTTCTAGAGTCTCTTCCCCAAAAGTCTTACTTTTATATACTAGAAACTGTCCTCATATTACTGCATTGTTTCTAGACTTTCCAGAAAGTCTTTACGCTTCTCAGGCACACTAGAGGGGTCTGTGTGTGGTGTAATCCACAGTTAAATGTCTTTATAAACCAAGTATAGGTATTGTCTTTAAAATGTTCAATTGCTGTTTTAGGCTAGGGATGCTCCCTGCCTGACTCACCCTCCACCGTTACCCCCCTACTTTATATGTGAACTGTCTGCTTTGGACTGAGGGTGCGGGGAGGGCATATCCGTGCTGGGAAGTAAGTGACCACCTCTTCAGGAACAGTCCGGACTCCTTCAGGCCCTTGGACGGTCAGGGGATACGAGGGGAGAGAGCTGAAACACAAGTGTCACCTGACCAAACTGTCTTTTCTCTTTAGGTTATGTGATATGTAGCTGGCACAGTGCAAGAGTACAAAAACAGCTTTCTGTAAAGTCTGAGTCTCGTGGTGAGTACAGCATTTGTCAGCCTCCCCCCCACCATTGTTCCTGCATGCCTGCAGTGAGAGTGAGGGTGGGGGGCATGAGGAAGTCTTGACTTTTTGGGGGGGAGGGGGGTTATTTTGATTGTCTTTACCTATCAGGTGTAAATTTCCAGGCACTCAGTTCATTTTGGGCCTGCTCCAGTTTGTCTTTAGTCTGTTCTAGTTCAGCCTTCATTTTGAGGAAAAACAAGTTGATGGCCGGGTCCACCATGGATGACCGCAGTTGGGCTGCACTCGGCTGCTGGACTTGCTTGAGGTACTGGATCTGGGTCTGCAGGATAAAACAAACAAGTGTCAATGACTGGAAATGAGCATTTCTACTGTTACAAGCTTTGATCAATCCCTAGTTGATGGAATCACATTAGCAACATATCCCCAAATCAGATTCAAGTTTTGGTTGAAAGTCATTTGATCGTCAGTATTATCACATGTCTTCTTAATCCTGAGCCTCAAGAGAAAAGGAACAAGCCACTAAAGAGTACTAGAAGAAAAGACACGTGCTCCTCGAGGCTCTGTGGAAAACTCATCAGTTTTAACCACATTTAGATTGAAATACAAATGAATGCAAAATAAAAACACTTCACTGTGTGACTAATAACAGCTCTATGTTTGATCCTATACAACATCAAAGCCATCTGAGTTCTCTATTGAAACCTATTTG